ACAACAAAACTACTAAAGAAAAGTCTAAGACATAGCACAAAATAGTTTTGTCCTAAGTAAAACTTAACAACAATTAAAACACTAAATTAATAAATTAGCAGAAAATAAAAAGTAAAACAATTAAGTTAACATAAAGTATTGTTCATAAAATTTTATTTGCAAAAAGAAACAAATAAAAAGCTTTTATGAAACTCTAACTATGACCTCTACAAGTTTTCATACAAAACTAAATAAAATAAATTTATAAAATAAAAAAACTTTTGTTGACTTGACAGAAACAAAACTAAATTTGTCATAAGTGACAAAAAGAAATAATTTAAAAACAATTAAAACTATAAAGAAAAGGCTAAAACAAAACTAGAACTAAAACAATACTGTTTTGCCTAAAACTCTAATTTAAAATAAACTAAAACAAATAACTATATGCTATTGGGTAAACCAAACAATAACAAAACGGTTGCAAAAGGAATCAATCAAAAATATTTTATAGAACTCAAGATACAGCCAAAGTAGTGATTTGAACAAATTTCATCAAACTCAAATTTAAACTACTCAAATTTGAAAACTAAGTACACAAACAGAAACATCAACAAATTAGTGACACAATGTAATTGGAATCACTCAAAAACATTAATTAGGCTAAAAGATACAAGCAAAATAAGATGGAAACTATTTCTTTTTTTAAAACAGAAACGAAAATACAGACAAAACTTCAGATCGGCCAGTGGCCATATGTCACGGTCTGATTGACCAGGGGCAGGCGTCCGCTAACAAAACGGGGCGGGTGGCCAAAACTTAGGGTATTCGGCGGCCGCGGCTTAATAAATAAAATAAAACCGTCGGCACGGTTCGATCTAACCGGAGTAAACCGGACTAAACTGATCTAGTTTAAAAAAAACTAACTATTCGATCCGATCTAATCTAGACCGTAAAACGAAAATCGAACGGAGGGGAGGTCGTCGAAGCTTACAGCGGTGATGGTCGCCGGCGATGCGGCTCGGACGTCGGCGGCGGCGGCGCTCTGGTCGTCGGCAGGGTTGGCGGAGTCGTCGAGTGGGTGTGGCAGTCGACGGCAAACTCGGCGGTGGTCGTGGCGTCAGTGGAGATGGTCGGAGGCGGTCGGCGGCGAGCTCGAGGCAGAGACGACGCTCGGTGGTCGTCGGCGTCGGTCCTACGGCGGTCCTCCGGCGAAACCAAGGGCACCAGGCGACATGGTAGAGGGTGGCGCGGCTGTTGGTGGTGTCGGGGGATGTCGGGGGTGAGTGTGAGCGGCGGAGTGAGCGGCGGCGTGCGGCGGCAGAGGCGGACTCTGGCGAGGTATTGCGGCAGGGAGGGGCGACGGGAGTAGGAGCTTTAGGGGGGAATCGGGCGAGGGGCGAGGGGTTTATATAGGAGGTTCGACTTGGAGGAGGGGGCGGATTGTGGAGAAGATCCCGAAGAATCCGGGATACGGCGGCGGTTGCACAAGCTCGGGTGCGGTCTTGGCTTGGCGTGAGGAGGAAGAAGACGGCGGGCCCTGCTGTCAGCGACAGAGGTGAGCGAGGGGAGGGAGCGGGCGACCGGGGCGAATGCGGTTCGCGCGAGGGAGAGAGGCCACAGGCCTATTCGGCAAGGTGGGCCGCGGAGAGGGAGGGATAGATGGGCCTTGGTGGCTTCACCCGTTTGCATTTTTATATATACAACACAGACAATAAAACAAACACAAATAAATAAATAAATAATATTATATAGGCATATAATATATCAAAACGTTCAGAAAAAGAAATCCCAAAACATGAACATATTTTCCAGTCCAAATAAAATCAACAAAAATTTAAATAAAGCAAACAGAGCTACTGTTGCAATAAAACTCAACGAAAATCATTTTTTAAATACCAAAATGATTTCAAAACTATTTTCTCCCATTTTTTCATTGAAGGGAATCATTTTACCCTTATTTCCATTTATTTAATTTTAGGAGAAAAATAACTTGAATAAAATCCAAATAATTCCAAATTTGAAAGGGAGTTTCAAAATACTTTCAAATGACTTTCAATTTGATTCTTTTTAACCTCCAACTCATATTTCATATAATTGAAGAAGTCATTTTATCTTCTCTCCTGAAAATCATTGAGTTGCATAAAGTTTTGAAATTGAAATATTTTCAGATGGAATTCAAATCTTTTCAAAACTCTTTTCATTTCAAATGGAAGAAGTCATATCATCTTCACTCTAGAGTTTTTTTGATGAAATGAATTTGAATTCATGGACATCAAATTGCAAAGATGCAGGCTTTTGGAAAGTCCTTTTATTCCCTCTCATTCAACTTTCAAAAGCTTCAAATTCCAATCATAATAATTTATTTGATATAACATTCCAAAATTTAGAATTTTGTGATGTTACACATTTAACATTTTCCAAATGCTTGATTAACATATTTGAAAATCTTGTTCAACATTTTTATTCCAAATGCTTGATTAACATTTTTTATATAAATGCTGAAAACATTTCATCATTTTTATAATATATAGTCAACTTTTTTTCTATACACATTTAACATTTTTCAAATGCTTGACTAAATTTTTTCAAATAATTGTTCAATAAAATTCCAAATACTTGATTAACATTTTTAAATACATGATCAAATTATACACATTTTTTATATGTTTTTCATATACATGATAAACATTTTATTTATCCACATTCATCATTTTTAAATGGTTGTTCAAAATTTTCAATTTTTTTTCATTGAGTGTTTTTTCTACTATATATATATATATAATATATTAAGGTATAAACAAAATTTAAAAGATAAATTGAAAACGAAAACAGAAAACATAAAAAAATCTTTAAAAAAGAGGTTGTGGCCTCCCGCGCTCCTCGGCCGGTCCATCTTGCTCCCCTTCAGAGAGCGTCTCGTAGGTCTTGCAGAACGTGAGATATAGGGACGCCCGTGGCCGTGCGCGACAGCTATGTTCGCTTTAAGCGAGACGGTAGCTTGCTCTCGCTGAAGGAATTTTGCTCTCGCTTACGAATCGGACCGGCCCATTGCGCGTAAAAAGAAACTGAAAAAGGGGATATGTGGTAGGTGTATTACCATCCTGTAGTTGGCATTACGATGAAATATTAGGGATTGACACTGATTTTTTTACATGGAGTGGAGAGACGTTCATAATCCACCCTAGTAAAGTTACTTGGGAAACATGGTAATGACATTAATTGGGTTACTATTTTCCTACACCACTCCGCCTCACACAGACTTAAATCCAGGATGGTAAAATGATGGTCAAACATAGTAAGTTAATTGGATTACCGCCTCCCGCACATCACTCCATCACAATTTTTTTTAAAATCCACCCCAATAAAATTGTCCGGCAAAAATAGTAATTGAATTAAAAAAATAAACAATCTAATGGAATTAATTTGGTTATCATCCGCACCACACAACTCGTGCACTGGCAGAATTTAATCTACCATGCTATTTGATGCATTACTGTGGAGGGCGTTCACATCAACAAGAAATGGAGCATGTGTAGTAGTAAGCCAGAAGTGATTACTTGTACTAAATTCATATTTTTAATAACAATTAGCACTATGGTATAAATTGTTTTGATTTACAAAATGACAGACTCTTGCATATTACAAGGTTTATTACTACAATTGCTTCATTTACTAGATACTCTAAATTTATTATTCAGACCAACGTGGTAACACAATTACCAACTCGTATTCATTAGAAAAATAATCACACCATTTTCACTTTTTTGGATGGCTCTTTTACTAGAAGTGAGAGAGGTAATTCTTTTCGGTGTTTTGCTATGTGCCACATTACTGTTACCCCTTGTACATGCATCCGGTGAACATTTTTATTTCATTACTGTGTTTGCAAGGGATTTTACTTGTATGGAAATGAGGTGAATAGCTAGTACTTGTGTGGCAGGTCTAGTGTATGCAACAGGTAACGAATTTAGTTTCATTACTATGTTTTGGATGAATTTTACTAGAAGGTATTAGTGAGTAGCTAGTACGGGACGGGTTGGTAGGCTAGTGCATCTAGTCAGTAACGAATTTACTTCGGTTACTATGATTTACAAGGGAATTTACGAGGATGTTGTAGATGAATAACAAGTAGGGACGGGGCGGAGGATTGGTACATGCATCTTTTTTTTTGAAGCTATTGGTGCATGCATCTAGTAACGGATTTAATCCCGTTACCCTTTTTGCCATGGGATATTACTAGGAGGGGGATGTGATTAGTTGGTTTCGCCCAAGGAGCGTGCTTAGCATGACCGGAGCGTAGAATTAGCGCTTTTGCGCTCAGGCGCAGTTTAGCGCTACCGTGTGTGTCTCTCTCTCTCTCTATATATATATGGATTGACTATTCGTCATCCTGGGTGAGAAATAGTTATTTTTCACCTCCTCTATTTTATCATCAATCCACCGTAATTTTACGTTCCGTAAATTTTGTCTTATTTCTGACGTAAAAAGAGACCGTAAAAAAATATAATCATCGTAAAAAATATTTTATGTTATGTAAAATTATAAACGTAAAAATATAATGTAAAATACACATAAACTGCATATTTTCTTGTCTTATGATCTATTTTTTTATTTTCTTATGCCAAATTTTAGGTAGTGAATCAATAGGAATGTGACTATTTGAATTCTAAACGTAATTTAATTATGAAATGATCGTGAGATTACCTCGGGTGTAGAATAACTTATTCTGCACCCTGGATGATGAATAGTATCACTATATATATATATATATACAGAAAACATAAAAAGACAGGAAAAAGAGGTTGTAGCCTACGGTGCTCGTGGGCCGGCCGTTTGAGGTGCTCTGAAAATTTTGCAAAAAGCCCCTCTGGATGTTCCTTAATTACACGCGGAAATCTCCCCCAAAACCAGAGCAAGGAACGCGCCCCTATCTAGTGTTCCCCCTTCGCCATCGCCACCGCTCGAGAGATTCCTGAGACTGGAGAGAGGGGAGGGAAGGAGAGAGGAAGGAGGCCACGGCCATGTCGTCGTTGGGAACGTCCAAGGGGATCCTGGAGATCACCAAGTTCGGGGTGTACGTCGCCGTCCCCGTTACCCTCACCTACCTCGTCGCCACTGACTCCAAGGCCATCAAGAAGCTCATGGGCCTCGTAAGGATTCCTTCCGCTGCTCTCCCATTCGGTTCAGTTGTTAGATCAAGGATGGATCGACAACGTTGCCTAGTTCTTAGGCCCTGGCATCCTGCTACGGAATTGAGTCCCTCCGTTCACTGTTATAAGATGTTTTAACTTTTTTCTGACACGGACGCAATTTAGTGTGTTTGTTCACTCATTTCAGTCCTTATAAAGTTCAAATTGAAATATCCACAACCTCTTATAATAGTGAACGGAGGGAGTATTATTTGGATGTCTAGATTGTTATATTGCTTGTGGGGTGGTTCTTGACCATGAACTAGAGTTTAGGATAAAGTGGCCAGAGTTGGCTCTGTAATTTGTGCATTTAAGAAAGCTTAGGCTCTCACCTGTGTCAAGCACTTCACGGCTGCTAGGTTTGTATCTGCAAAAAGAGAATCTGTTGATAGGTAAAGGGTAAAGCCGCATTATCTTTGCGTGCTAATTGAATTACTGCTAATAGCACCGTGGTGAGTGATGACCGCCCTGAAAGTAAAGATATGGGGATTAAAGTGTTGATTCATGACCCATGAGATGAGACGGTCCATTATTCGTTTATAAGAGACTTCAGAACTTGCTTCAAAAAAAAAAAGAGACTTCAGAACTCTGCTGAGAAAAACACGTGAGGCCTTCTTTGGCGGCACTCTCCTCTCTAGCTTCACCAAATCCTTTGGCATTGAGTGAGTCCCCCTCCCCCCTCCCTCCGCATCGCCCCGCGCGGCGACCAGAGGGCCAACCCTAATCCCCACCGGTCCCAGCCCCCACCCTCGCTGCCGCTTGGGGGTGCGGCCGGGCGAAGCCTAGCCGCCGCTGGCAGCGGCGGGGCCTTCTTGGTCTTCCCGTTCGGGCGTGTTGGTGTGGACCGTCGCGCTGGGCCGGAGCGTGGCGCTAGAGCCGGGCGTCACGGTGGCGTGGCGGGCAGTTGCGGAGCCGCGGCGCTTCTGCTCCCCCTTGGCGGGCGGCCAGGTGGTGGGCGAGCCTTGGTCTCCAGGGACGGCGACTTCGAGGACAGATCTGGGGCAGGCGGCGCGGGCTGCAGGTTTCTGCCCCTGCCATGGCCGCGGCGTATGGTGGAGCGACGCAGCTGTGGCTGGCCGGTGGCGGGGGCCGGGATCCAGTGGCTACAGCGGCTGGACGACGGTGGGAAGCGCAGATGGGCTCCTTGGTGAGCTTCCTTGGTGGTTAGCGGCGGCCCTTGGGATTTCTCCTTGCCGGTGGATAGGTGTGTGTTGGTGCCTCGCGTGGAGCTGCGTCTGCCGCCGAGGTGGGGCGACACAGGGGCTGTCCTGTGGGGAGGCAGGCTGGAGGGATGGGAGGCGCCGCCGAGCTCGGGCCACCCGTCGCCGACAAAGGGGTGTGCCGGTCGTGGATGCGTCCGCTCCCACTCCCCCCTTTCCCCGTCCGTGTGTGTGCTTCGGCGTTGTTCGAGGCAGGACGTATGTTGCGGTCTCTTCAGTCGGGTGCGTCCGTTGGCCCAAAGTCGGTCACTTTGGTCGGTCTTGGGGGTGTCTGGATGTAGGGCGGCGGGAGGCACCGCGTTCGTGGGCGGAACTTGCGTCTCGGGTGCGGGCAAGCAGCCATGGCCACGCGGGTGGGTGGTCCCTGGTGGTTGGCGGAGGGGTGGGAGTGCTGGGGTACATCACTTGCCCAATCGTTGTATTGGCCGACGGCGGCGGCGGCCGTGGACGCCGTATCCTTCATGAAGGCTCCGTCGCGGTGTCCCTACTCCTTCGTGATGCTTTGGGTGAAAACACGATCTTCAAGATCATATGGTGGCGGCTATAGCTCCAAACGGTTCTTCTTCGCTCATTTGTAGTGGCTTTGTATTCGTTGGGGTGGCGTGGCGGTGCTCAGCACCTTTATATCTTGCCTTGTGTGTGTGTGTTGTGTGCGGTGGTGGCGTGAGTTTGTATCATTGTGCTTGTGGGTCGGTGCTTTATATATAAAGCAGGGCGAAAGCCTTTTTGGATAATCCTTTGGCATCTCTTTGTTATCAGTATACCCTGATGATACCAAGCAATGCAGCAAGCAAGATTTGTAACTGAGTAGGTTAAATTTATGGACTTTAAGAATAACAAGAAGGCTTAGGCGCTCTGCTAGAATAGTACCTGCTAGAAATATTTTTGTTCGTTTGTAAAGCATAGAGAAGATGAATGTCTTTACCTCTTTGGATCACGAGCTGAATTAGAGGCTTATAACAATAGGTGGTGAATGACGGTGTGTCCTTGGAAGTACCGGTGTCTTGTTTGTTATAGGGAACCAACACATCGCTTCATTACACGCATTGCATACTTTTGTTGATGGGGACTCTACGATGGTGCTGACTAACACCGGATGCCTTCTTTGATGTCACCTCTTTCTAGTTTAAAAAACAAATCATGTAGGATCAGTTCGCCCTAGTGTTATGAAAGAATTGAGCAAACAAGGGTTATGTTGTCAAGCAAGTAAGTTCAATCATCTTATTTGTTTATGTGCCGGTGGCAATTTGCTCTATTTGTAGGCAATATGGTGTCTTGCTTGTGTTGGTGGAATTTGCCTTATTTGTAGGCAAAGGCGGTGATCTTATATTTGCTAATATGTGGTTCCTCAACATGTGAGTTCATAATATTTTTTATGGTGGTCATATTTGTTAGAGTTATATTGATGATGGATTTTTGGCCTTTTGTATTCTAGTCTTTTGGCATTTTCTTGTACATTTTATATATGCAGCTTTGGTCCACTATTAATACAAGTTGCATCGTAACATGATATAATGAGCCTAGGTTTAGGAAAAAGAAGTCGGGTGCTGCAACTCGCCCTCCCGACGATCTCCTCGTCTCCGTCCGATCGATCGAAGTCTCCTCAACGCTCGCGTGCTATCTGATCCTTCCGATCCGCCGGCCGGCCATCTCGCTTCGATTAGTCCGCCCGTATGGCTGCACTCGATCCGCTGGAGGCTCTCCTAGCTCCCGATCTGTTTGATGTGGTGAGCTGCTGCTGTGCTGCCGCTGCTTCCATTTGGATCGATCTGATCCTGTTCTCGATCCAGTCCACGCCGCCCAGCCCCGGCCCAGGAGATTCCGGGCCTCCGCGCTGCCATCTGAGCGCTGCCGTTCAGGCGTCTGCGCCGCCCTCCGTCCATCTGCGCCGCATAGCCCTGGCGGCTGCCCTGCTCCCGGCCGGCTGCTGCCGGACCTCCGCCCGTTACCCTGCACTCCGCCGGCCGTGTCCGACCTCCTACCACCCGCTGCATCGTGCGAGTGGGTGTGCGGCTGCTGCCCTGCTCTTTCCGCTGCATCGTGCGAGTGGATCGCTGCCCTGCTCCGCCCACTGCATCGTGCGCGGGGCGTGCGCTCGTTTTTTAGCCTGCGTGCGCGGCTGTGTTCGGCTAGGCTCAGCTCACGTGGCTGAGCTGTTTTGCCCAATTGCCTACTCCCATAAAAAAAATGCCGTTGTCGTCCGGTGTTCCTTATGTTGATCCTGTCTCGCACACACACCGTCTCTCGGTGCTTGGTGCTCGTCCACATATGACGTTGTCCCCTCCGGCCTCTTCAGCCCGATGCGGTGGTCGCTTTTCCACAACTCTCGCGGCTTCTGACCGTGGTTGTGGCCTCTCTTCGTCGACTCATTTGATGGTTTCCGCACGTGATGATGGCTGCTCTACATCATCTTTTATGGCGTCCGTACGTGGCGGTGACCGCTTTATGTCGACTCCTCTCGCGGCTTTCGCGCGCGGCGGTGACTGCTCTGCGTCGACTCCTCACGCGGCTTCCGTGCGCTGCGGTGACCACTCTACGTCGACTCCTCTTGCGGCTTCCGCGCACGGTCAACTCTACACGCGGCTTTGGTCTTTCGTCCGTTCTTGAGCGAGATGTTGTTGTTCATCCTAAATGGCAGTTTGCGATGGCAGAGGAGATTGCTGCCCTTGAGCTCACCTGCACGTAGGATCTGTTTTCTCTTCCTCCCCGTGTTCGTCCCATCACTTGTAAGTGGGTCTATAAGATTAAGACTCGCTCTAATGGATCTCCTGAGCGTTATAAAACTCGTCTTGTGGCTCGTGGCTTTCAGCAGGAGCATGGTCGTGATTACGATGAGACTTTTGCTCCTGTGGCCCATATGACCACTGTCCGCATATTTTTCGCCGTGGCCTCTGTTCGCCACTGGTTTGTGTCTCATCTTGATGTCAAAAATGCCTTTCTTAATGGTGAGTTGCGTGAGAAAGTTTATATGCAGCCCCCACCTGGGTATTCAGTTTCTGATGGCATGGTTTGCCGTCTTTGTCGCTCTCTCTATGGCCTTAAGCAAGCCCCCCGCGCTTGGTTTGCGTGTTTTGCCTCTGTGATCACTGCAACTGGTTTTTGCCCAGTGCTCATGGCCTAGCGTTGTTTGTCCACCTTTCTGCTCGTGGTTGCACTCTTCTGCTTAACCTTCGCGCTTTTGATTGTGAGCTCTTGTCTGATCCAACCCGCATCTTGTTGGGAGTCTTGTCTATCTTGTTGTCACTCGTCCGGATATCTCCTATCTTGTCCATATTCTAAGCCTTCTTCATATTCTACGATATCTTCATGGCACGATCTCGCATCGTCTAGTTTTCCCCATTACAGCTTCAGGCCTATTCGGATGCTACGTGGCCTAGTGATCCTTCGGACCGCCCTTCGCTTTCTGCTTACTGTGTTTTTCTTGATGGTTCTCTCATTGCCTGGAAGACGAAGAAGCAGACTGCAGTCTCCCGTTCGAGTGCAAAGGTCGAGTTGAGAGCTATGGCTGGTTACGATGGTTGCTGGAGGATTTTGGTATTTCTATTACTACACCTACCACCCTCTTGTCCAATAATACAAGTGCTATTATCAGTATTGCACAGGACCCCGGGAAGCATGAGCTTACCAAGCATATTTGGTGTTGATGCTTATTATGTGTGCAGCAGGCTTGGGCCTCGTTGCATCATAATAATACTTCCTACAACTGTTTGTTGCTGTTGCACCAGGAAGTTGTCAGAACCAAGCCATTATGTGCTTTCATGTATCCCTTTGTGTACATTCCCTCCCTTTCCTTCCTTTTGACGCTTTACAAAAGCTTGAATTTGTACTCTGTTTTGCTCCTATTGCAGCGTCCTTATGTGGTTTACCCACCAGAAGGCCCACGACCACCACCGCCCGAAGAACTTCGTGAAAGGGCTCGGGAGATAGCTCGCAGCAGAAGACAAGAATAAACAGGTGGACCATGGTTGCTCCATATAGTTTGTACTCGGATCATCTTTCTGCATGATACTACGATCCGCCCAAAAGATTCATGAAACTGGGACACAAAAACTTCGACTATCAAACATGCTGTCATGGGTGTATGGTTGTCAATGAACATGATTTCTTATTCTGTTGTAATGTTTCTGATTGTTGGTGTAAAATTACGAGACGTTTGTGAGTTGCGACAACAAGTAATAAACCGATTTCACCCCTGGCATGATCCGTTTGATTGCTGATGCCATTTCGAACACCAACATCATCATCATGAAAGTAGGCCCAACAATTAAAGGAAGGGTTGTTTTCGCGGGCACATTATTCTTTGCTTCCATTGACACAGCAACACATGTGCGCTTTGCTCAACTTACCGTATAAGGATATCTGCATTTTACTACATCAGCCTGTTGGCACATCACGAACGGCTTACATGTAAAATTGGCGGAGTAACCTTTGAACCTGGGAATGAGGCCGTAAGAGTAAAAGAAACTGTAGAGCCGCTGGGCGTGAACGGTCAACGGCATCTTTTTTTTGCGTGTTCATCCATACTGGTTGAAAAGGAAAGAATCTTAGACCTTTGCCTTCCGATTTTATCATGAATCGTAGTATCAAACACCCATCTCTCAAATATGGAAGGGGCAACTGGAGCTTCTGAAAGATCCATTGTACGGGGTAAGATAACAATGATGGAGCAATCCTCCCCCCTTGCACCGATGCAACGCCAATAGATAGCTAAAAAGGACAACATGATAATAATGTACTCCATTGAGAGTGGTCAGACGGAGAGAGATCGCTGTCCGCCGGGTGTATACGTACAGGAAATCATCAGATTGGGCCGGCGCATGAAGATAGCGAATAGTAGTATCAAACACCCATCTCTCAAATGTGGAAGGGGCAACTGGAGCTTCTGAAAGATCCATTGTATGGGGTAAGATAACAATGATGGAGCAATCCTCCCCCCTTGCACCGATGCAACGCCAATAGATAGCTAAAAAGGACAACATGATAATAATGTACTCCATTGAGAGTGGTCAGACGGAGAGAGATCGCTGTCTGCCGGGCATATACGTACAGGAAACTATCAGATTGGGCCGGCGCATGAAGATAGCGAATAGTAGTGCTTCAAAAATAAAACCACACTCATTAAGGATAAGAACAACATAGAATATTTTTAAAAACTTCCAACGCAAAATATTTTTTTGAAAACAAAACGTGATTTTTTTGTGAATCCCAACCACTTTTCAGATTTTTGAACAAATATATAATAAACTAAAACATTTTTTTAAAACCATGAACAGCTTTGAAACGCGAATATTTTTTAAAACCGGAACATTTTTATAATTCCAATTTTCTGTGGAAACACAAACAACTGTTGGAACGTGAAAGTTTTTTGCAACTCCAGAAAAGAAATGGGAAAACAACAAACATTTTTGTAACAAAAGCATAAGACCGTCATTTTTTGAAAATTTTGAAAAGAATGTGAAAACGGGAACATTGATTGAAATTCCAAACAAATTATAATATATGAACATTTTTTGGAATCCCAATCATTTCTCTAACAGTTGTGAACTTTTTGAATAAACACACTTTGAACAACTTTTGGAAAAAAATGAACTTTTTCTGAAATTCTTGATTATTTTTTTGAGAAATGACAAACAAAATTTGAAGACATGTACAATTTTTTTGAAGTTATGAACATTTTCTTAATTTTTTGAACATTGACTAATAAAAAATATGAATATTTTGAAATTCTGAAAATTGTTTTAAAATATTCGAAATATTGAAGGTTCAATGGTCACTAAGGATGCTCAATAGGCGAGACCATAACGTTATTTGCTTCGCTCATTCTATCCATTTCGTTAACAACTTCATGCGATGAGTGTCAATTAGGAAATTCCATATGGTTCGGGAGTACCATCAAATAGACGGCAACACAATCAGGAGGCCGACCGACTGGGCTGGCCCATTGACACTCACAAAAACAGAAAATAATTCACCAATATGACAATTTCAAGTAACTATTTTTAACTATGATTTTTAAATAATTTTTCCCTTCGAACCTACCATGGATGCAAACCATGGCATGCCCACCTGCTAGGGATCGTTCAAGCATGCCCCAAAAAACACAATGCTCAATGGAGGGTGTCTAGATAGGCCATGAGCACGTTTTTCTGAACATCCTGAAATGGCCACAATTTTCTTCATGGCTTGTATGACCAATTCAAGGCACCATGCCAAGTTTCTTCGGTTTTTGAAAAGTTTTGCATTTTCTGGTGTTTTCATGGTAAAAAAAGATCGATAAATTGGACGTGTTGCAACTTACATACGGTGTCGAAAATTGTTCAAACCTGGCATGGATGCCTACCTTGGGATTGCCCACCTGCTTGGAAAATTGGGGTCATTTCAAGAATGTCCAAATAGATCATGTTCAACGGAGAGTGTCCGGGTAGGCCAGAAAGGTCCGTCTGAGAGCACGTTGCTTCCCAACATCCTTTAATTGGCCCCAGTTTTTTCATGGCCTTTATGAGCAATTCAAGGCACCAGTCCAAGTTGCTTGGGTTTCGACAAGTTTTGCCTTTTCTAGAGTTTTCTCAGTCAAAAATATCGATAAATGGATGGAGGTGTCACGACTTGCATACAGTGTCAGAAATCGTTCAAACCTGGCATGGATGCCTATCATAGGCATGCCCACCTGCATGCAAATGTTGGGTTCATTTCAAGAATGTTCCAAAAACCTTTTTTGTTTCTTTTTAATAACCGAATTCAAATCAGGTTCGGTATTAAACCGTATAACTGAAAAAAAAAACGGAAATCCAGGCATCCAGTACGAGGCCCCCTCTCGTGTGTCACCCAACACCTAAGGCTTAATTGCACGCGCATGTCCAATCATGCAGGATACGAATGGACCAATGCATGCATTGTTCCCCACGTGAGAGCTAAACTAGCTAAGCTATTGTGGATTTGAAATAAGTTCATCAATGCTGAAAAAAATATTCATGTTGAAATTTTTCCAAAAAAGTCCACCAAAAAAGTTGGAAAAATAAGCTCGAGAAATTGAAAAGGGTTGAAAATTTTGAAAACAAATTCATGATTTTTTATTTTGAAAGTTTCACACATTTTAAATAACAGGAAAAAATAAGAAGGAAAACAAAGGAAAAATAAAATGAAATAAAATAAGGAAAACAAACCAGAATAAAGCCCGTTTAAAAAAATGAAAAACCGGCCCAAAACTTCACGAAGTTACATTTGCCACATAATAAGTCAGAAAGAAAGCAAGTGTTCAAGTTGTGTTCATAAAATTGTTCAGAATGTTACTTCTTAAGTTTGCACGCTCTTCATATCTCTTTAAAATTATTGGATTCTTTTTTCAAAAGAATATACTTAACATTTTGAACTAATATATATCCTTTTTTTTGAAATGTTCATGCTTTTAAAAAATGTTGTTCAAATTTTCGAAATATATCATGCTTCTAAAAAAGTGAAATTTTTGAAAACTGTTGGATTTCAAAACTTTATTTGATTTGTAAAATTTTATTCAGAATTTCCAACAAATGTTTGAATTTTTTAAAAAAGTACTTAAATTCTGCACCTCTACTCCTAATAGAACAGTTGATGAATAGTCCGCGCGGTTTATTTTCGTCATCCCCCATCACCGTTTTTTTTATCATCATCCCATCTCTGCCAAAAAAACCTTTGCGAAAAAAACCCTCGAGCCCCGAGCAGATCGATCTCCCCCGCCGACCAGACCTTCTCACGCCCGATCCACCACTACTCCCCCTCCCTGGCCGATCCATCCCGACCGCCGCCGCCCTCTCCCCGCACCCGTACCCAAGGAATCAGCCGGCGGCCAGATCCGCCCCTCCACTCACCCAACTCTCCCTCCGCCGCCGCGGACCTCGCAGGAAAGACGCGGACGAGATCCCAAGCCGCTGCTCCTCCTCTCCCGGGATGCAGCCACCGCCGCCGAACCAGGGAGCCGCCGGCGACCGTCGCCGCCGTCGTGGATCACCATGACGCCGCCGCCTGCACCGCCACCGAGGACGAGATTACGAGAACCCACGCCCCAGCCGCCATCGCCGCCGCCGATCCCTTCGCCGTCGCCGCCGCCGGTCCCTGGCCGCCATCGCAGATCCCTTTGCTGCCGCCGAGGTCCTGGAGGAGCCGCCACCACCTTCATTGCGGACCTCCAGGTCGCCGTCGGGACACCGCGGCAGAGGTTCGCCACGGCCGCCGTCGAGTTCCAAGAGGGGCATGACCCCAGGGAGATCTTCGTCGGGGTTGCCGCCGCCGCTGACGTCGCCTGCCGAAGGTGAGATCCCAGGACCTGTCTCCTCCTCTCTTTGCAGCGCCATGCTTTGTCGCGAGGCTGGCGGTGGCTGGTGGGTCGATGAACAGAGAGGAAAGGTACGGTGCCGTCGATCGTCCTGCCTATGGATTCACTGGATGCGTCTTGGTGGAGTGAGCGCTCGTGAGATTCGATCTGGTTGCTCTGTCTTTCAAGGTGGATTCGGTGTCAGTAGGTTGGGACGGATTGAACGCTGTTGGACTTGTTAACTTGCAGGTGGGCTAAACCTCTCGTCCTCTGGCGACGAACATCGCCTCCCGCTAGGGTATGCGGGCGACAGTCGTTACTCAGCGCCAGCAGGTCGCTGCCCCGTCCTCCAAGACAATGGTAGCATGCTTATGCCTTGGGGCATGGTGTCTAAATCTGGCAATGGCTGGGTAACTTAACCATACCCAACCTGAAACCATGTGACAAATTTAAGAAAACTAAACCAGACAAATTTAAGAAAACTAAACCAAACCATAAGCAACAGTCGGCCATGCACACTGTCTGACTACTATTGATGTTGGTCTTTCATGTAGGCTTGCCTTCAAATATCACGGCAAGGTATGTGATTTCTTATACTGTAACAGACTGTACAAGTCCACTCTCATATACAAGGACCATGAAATTGGATTGTGGCATTACTTC